ACCCTGGTATTCGGCATAATGGTTGGTCCAAATAGGAGAGGCAGACCCTACAGAGAGTAGATGATATAGTAGATTGGTGTGGAGCAAGTCTATAGAAACTAAGACACTCCACACTGGACAGGGAAAGATGGAAAGAAATAGTGAGGGAGGCATCAGACACCAACAGGCGCTGAACCCATGGTTGTTGATGGTGATGATGATGATGATTCATTCTTATCTGTGCTGGCCCTTTCAAGGATGAGTAGTGCAAAAAAAAAGTTAAAAGCTTATTATTGTCATCAAAATCAACAAATTTGACATTCAGTTCATATAAGCAACAGATTTGTTGAATAAAGGAGCACCATGTGTACATAATACTTTTGCTGATACCATTTCAAGGTACTGGGCTGGGAATCTACAGACCTGGCAGCCTGATACTTGGTTCATCCATTCTTGAGTTTAGGAGAGAAATGGGAGGACAAAAGTAGCTTTAAGCCATTTTTTTATTCCTTGTATTCTGGGGCCCAGCATAAGTTACGGAAATTTTAAAGTTTGATAGGTTGAGAGCCACTAGAGAAGTGGTTCTCAACTCGTTTCAGTCCACGGACCACCAGGCCAATCAAAAAATTTTGATGGACCACCTCTCTTTTGAGACATGATAAAAAAGAGCAGACAATGAACATTTTGGTTTGAAATTTATTTCTTACTAAGAGATTTTGGGATTCTCTTCTCACTGACAAGCTTTTCAATGTTTAGAGTGGTACTTGATAATGCACAACGAATATCGCTTTCCACTGCAAGCCTTTGTTTGGACTTAACGTGCAACAAAGACAAAAATCCAGTCTCACACATATAAGTTGATGCAAATGGCAAAAGAAATCTGACTGCGTGTGCTGACAGATTTGGGTAACTCCTGGACATGCTGGCCCAAAATTTCTCCATGGTAGATTGCTGGTACACGTCTTGAGCTGCAAAATCATTTCTCAGATCCAAGAATTCCTCCTGTAGATCCTCTGGAACACTAACAACATCTGTTGTAAATGGATTCCTGATGAAAGATAATCCATCCCTTGTTCTGTCCACCTCTGGAAAGTATCATTGGAATTCGTCTCGTAGCTTCTGTAAATGATCGACAATTTGCGTTTGAATGGTTTCCTTTTCCCCGAGCATGGCATCCACATATAGAAATTGAACTAAATTATTGCCTTCCACTTTTACGATCCAGAGTTCCAATTTGTCAAGAAAAGCCTTGATGACGCTTTGGTGAGAGAACAGATCGGCACCTTTCGCTTGCAGCTGAAGATTCAGTTTGTTCAAGATTCCAAAAATATCGACAAGATACGCAAGTTCTAAATTTGACTGCATCAGCACATTTTGGAATTCCTCTTTTCTGTGAGCCTGGAGAAATAAATCCAACTCCTCTCTCAGTTGAAAAACTCTGTTGAGTACGTTCCCTGATGACAACCACCGTACAGAAGTGTAGAGCATCAACACATCAAAGTCGGAACCAGTGTCCAGGCAAAATCTTTTGAACAGCCTGGTGTTCAGAGACGATGATTTGATGTGATTCACCACTTTCACCAACCCTTTGAAAATGGCATTCAGTTATCAGGCAATGTTTTTGATGCCAAAGCTTCCCTATGAATGAAGCAATGAACTCTGGTTACCATTGGAGCACGCTGTTTCACCAGCATTTGGAAGCCCGATCTTGAGCCTAGCGTGGCAGGTACACCATCAGTGGTGACACACACAAGATTTACCCAATCCAGACTATGTACTTCAAAGAAATTATTAACAATTTCCATCACATCCTGAGCCTTTGTGGTGGTATCAAGTGCCTTACAAAAAAGGAACTCGTCTTTGAAGTCTCCCTCAACCATGTATCGTGCGAACACCAATAGCTGAGAGCACAATGTGACATCAGTTGATTCATCCAATTGTATGGCAAACAATGGAGGCTTCATTTCATCTACAACTTGTTCACTGATGTCCTGTGATATCTCATTTATCCATCTCGATACTGTGTCCTCAGAGACAGATATATCATTCAGCTTCCTTGCTGCTTCCTCACCAAGGGGAAGCTGCACCATCTCTTTTGCACAGGAGAGCACAAGTTGCTCTACGATGGCATGAGGCTTCTTGGCCTGTGCAACTTTGTATGCAACAATGTAGAAAGCGCGCACTGCATTGCTTGTCTTATTGTAGAATGCACTTGTTGAGCTGAGGCACTGCCATTTCAGACCTGATAACTGCCGCTCAAAATAATCTTCATTCTTTTGCAACAAGGTGGGGTGACACTTTTCGAGATGGAGTTTCAGCTTAGCCGGCTTCATTGAGTCATTCCCCAAGACTTTGAAACAAATAACACATTGTGGCAAATCCGTGCCGCCTTTTTCTTGACAAGTGAAGTCGAATTTGATGTAGTCCTCCAAGTACTTGCACTTGACATTTCTTCCTGTCGTTGCCATTATAAACAAACTACACCACACCTGTAAAACAGCACATGTAGCATAGGACGAACGACACAGCAACCGCTCAGCATGACAGTGGCAGCTACACTGACACTCAGAGCCTCAGACGGAAGTTACTGGCAATACAATGTGGTTGCGTCCTAGGTGACGCTATGGATGACGTGCTGCGTGCTTGTGAACATGGCGTAAAACAGCCTAACAGTGGCGTCTGCTCATGCCGTGTGACTGTGGACAATGTTCCTGTGGACCACTGAAAAAGTCACCATGGACCACCAGTGGTCCATGAACCACCAGTTGAGAACCACAGCCCTAGGGGGAAACCCCTGGTTTACAGAATGTATTTTTAAGAGGCCTTTTCCATCCCATGTAAAGCTCCTTTAGATCAATATAAAGAGATCTTAGGGTGACAGAGAATAAGGCCCTAATCAGATTCTAATCCCAGTTTTATCACATACTTCTGAGGCTATGCCTACACTACAATGATCTATCGGAAAAAGGTACGCAAATTGTGTTTTTTCAGAAGGGGCTTTTCCGAAATTTGGCCCCTCTACACTGGGCAAAATTTCAGAAAAGCCTCTTCCTTTGGAAGAGTCCTTCTTCCTTGTGGGAGGAGGAAGACAGGGCTTCTGAAAGAGCGCATCTGCTCTTCTGCAAAAAAAAGCAGAAGAGCAGACGTGTTCCCTGGATGCGGCAGAGTTTTTCTGGGATACTTTTGGTATCCCAGAAAAACCCTGTGGTGTAGACATAGCCGTGAGTCTCAATCATCCTTTCAGTTGTATATGATAGAATATCCAGCCCAGTGTGTGATCTTGGGCAAGTAATATAATCCCTCTGGCCTACATTGATTTTTGTGTGTGAAAATATTTGGCTGTTTTTCCTACCACCTGTATAATTCCACAGTTGCTAGCAGCAACGGAGGAACTGGTGTAAACTACATTAGAGCTGGAGCAACAGTGGGAGAACATCACAAAAATCTTGGCATAGACATAGCCTTGGTTTCTTCAGCTGAAAAATGAGAAAATATTGTACAAGATTTCTGGCAGTTTTGAGGCTAATTTTATTAATGTTTTAAAATGCTTTCAAAGTCTCCGATGGAGGTCACTAAATCAAAAATAATAATAAGAGGACAAAGAAAAACAAATTTTATTTGAGACAGCACAAGTTCTATACAATGTATTACATGAAGATATACATCTAATTCAGAAGTCTGAGGATATGCTCACTTTTTAACTATCTAGCGCTATATTATTTTGATGATGCTAATGGCAACAGTGGTGTTCAAAATTTCCAATCAGAATCAGAGGTCAGTAGGCTTTAATGTGTACATGCAAACCCTACCCTGAGTGTTAACAATGTTTTGAAGTGTGTCAAATCCATCTGTGCCACTGGCTTCCCCTTTGGATTACTCAATCTTATGAGTTAGTAAAATCTAAGGGGGAGGGGGGAAATGGTTTTTAAAAATACCAGCATTTCACTGAAAATTGGATACCGTGCCTCAGATGAGTTTCCTGTCACGTCTGATATCTAATTTAAAAATACTGTAACATTTACAAATAATGTAAAATAAACTAATTTTGTGATTTTTTTTAATTTAGAAATATGAGATCTGGTCTTTCCTGAGTTTGCTGGATGACTGTGTTATTTGTTTTTGTCCATGTGTCTCTTAGATGTTTCTTATGAGGTGAAGGGTAGGCTGAAGTTGTAAAAACAATCTCCTTAGTTTTTCAAACAATCATTATTTATTACTATTACTATAAATACTGTTGCTGTTTGTGTGACAGAAGCACCTTGGCACTCCAGTGCAGTGGGGATTCTCTGGGTACTGCACTTGTTCGTACAGTAACAGAGACAGTCTCTGCCCGGAAGAGTTTACAAACAAGGCAGCTGGTGGGTGCAGGAGCGGGGGCAAATGCGGGTGGGTTGGGAGGATGAAGGAATAGCAGAGCGAAAGGGGCCTCGCTGCTCTCTCTCCAATCCGCAGGGAGGAAAGAGGAGCTTTGCTACAGGGCCAGGGCCAGGGCCAGGGCCAGCAGCTCCCGGCCCTGCCCGTGTGTAGGCGCGGAGCCCGCACGGAGAACGCCCTGCACCGGCAGCCATGGATGGGCAGGAGCAAGCTCCTAAGGATGACTGCCTCGGTCGGGTGTGTGTCCCCGCCCCCGCCGCTGGAGGAGCCTGGTGGGGCAGCCACACTGGCGAGTGCGAGCTCACGGCTTGCAAACAGCGCTGCTGCAGCTACTGTGCGCGGAGGCACCCGGCCAGCTCCTTGACCAGCGCACCCGCCCACGCACATTTTCTCAAGGCCGCAATCTGGCAAACGCACAATTCTCCACAAATATGGCGGTGCGGGCGGGGCGCGCCAAACTCCCTTGTCAACACCCTTCTCCCTCCCCCCACCATAGGCAGACTGACAGGGTGGCGCCGCAGAGGCCCACCTCTATGATCAGGAGCCTCTGCGAGAGGGTGGGGAGAAGAGGGGCCTGGCTCGCGCGAGGAGACCAGCGCGGCAGTTGAGCGGGCAGGCAGGAGACAAACGGGGCGGGGCCAGGCGGGCTGCTGGAGGGGGAGGGGGCCGCGAGCTCAGACTGGCAGTTAGCGGCGACTCCCCTTTGTGTCTGGGCTGGGAGGCGACGCGCGTGGATCTTCTCCTCCCCTCCGCGCGCTCCTGCTAGCCGCGCCGCTGTGCGGGGGGGCGAGGACGGGAGCAGGCGCCGCCGCGTGAGGGAGCCAGCCTGTGGCAAGGCGCGGGGCTCCGCGGCACCCCATAGCCGCCGGCTGAAGTCCGGGGACGCCTCCCTCCGCGCGGTGGCTGCTCGAGGCGCTGGAGAGCTGCCCGCCGGCGGAGCGAGGGGGCCTCTGTCGCGAGCTGCAGCCTGAGCCGTTGCTGAGCTGGAAGCACCCGGCTGGGCGCCCTCCAGTCCCGAGGGGCCGGGGCTGCGCCCTCGAGCAGGGTGCCTGCAGAGACGGGCCGGGCCACGGCGCCGCCTGTACATGGCAGTGGCTGGGAGAGACCTCGCCTAGTTAAGCGACGCGGAAAGGGCCGAAGGACGACGGCGTCGGTCCGCGGCATGGGGGTGTCCCTCTGACCGCAGCCCTCAGCACTGGCTCTGCGGACCCGGGGCAGGAGAGGTGACAGTTGCTGCCGATTTTTCTCCTTATCCCCCTCCCTGGATATGTTTCATGCGAAACCTGGATGCTTCTTTGATATCGTCAAGTTGCGTGGGAAATAATCTGGGTTTCCGGTGTGACCGCAAGAGTGACTGCTTACCCAGGGGAAGGGAAATGCAGCCTGGCTTGGAAACCAAACCCCCCTTTTCTTATGATCGCTAGAAAGAAGAGGAGCCAGTCCTGAGGCATGAGGACAGATACGTGTAAAGGAGTAAGAGCTCAGACAGCTCCTGTCATCTGCCGTTTGCCCTTCCAGACTGGATTGTGATCCAAGAGCGTTTTAAAGATTGTTTCGAAAGGAGGAATTTCCTCCCTTTTCTGTATTTTTTTTCTTTTTCTTCTGCCTCCTCCTTTCGCTTCCTCAGGTATGAGTGCCTCTCTGCAGCACCTTATGCTGGTGCTCATGCTCTCCAGTGCCACCCTGCTGCTCAGCACTGCGTCTGGTAAGTAGCCACCGGGTGTAATATACTAGCCATTCTGGCATTCGAAAGGGGGTGGGGTCCATCGGTACTTTGATATATCTGTGACCCATTAAAAAGTAGAGTGCCTGTGTGTCACAGTGAAGTATGATAATGTTTTTAAGTGAGGACCTATCATCTTCGAGACTTTCTCATTCACCTGTTTCTTTGTAGAAAGCCCAATTTGCAGTGAAGGTTTATTTTCTCTTGGTCTGTTCATGGTGATAAATGGAATGTGTTCATTTTTTCGGGGTGAGGAAGAATAATTTGGTATGGTGGGTTTTTTCCATGAAATGTTTAACATCTTTGTGAGGTAATGCTGGAATTTTAAAAATACATTGTAATCACAAGCAGAGCTATGTCTGCTTGCTAATGGGGGGTCTTTGGGCACAGCCATTTTTTATTTTACTAACATCAGTGTTATTGGGTAATTATAGCTATAACATTTGCTATATCTTTTAGGGTAATTATATAATGCATATTTCTTCTTGGAGCTTGAAACAAAAATGAAAATTTTTCATCTTCATGAGATTTATAGAATAGTAAAATAAGATGGTGATGAGGAATACTGCAAGATCTGAGCATACATAATGCTAAGCGTTTTATTTACTTACAGTAAGTTAAAGTATAATATTTTTGGAAAATTGCTCTATTTTAAACTTTTTAGAGCTCAGTATTACATGCACAGAGCAATTAGCCGTGAGACTAGAACCCTATGTAGCCCTTGCATCCTTTGGCTTTTGATCATAGTGGCAGATTAGCATGAAGGAGCTCTCTGAAGTGTTACCCAGGTTTATTAGGTGCTAATACTTATTCCTCCCTTTTATATGCTTTTAACAGTTTGTAGAAGATCTTTGGTAGCTTTCTTTCCACTCAGAAGCCAGTGTATAGAATCCTCAATCTTTTCCAGCATTATTTTATAATGTACTGAGTAAGTCTCAGGTGTAGGATAATAGATAAGTGTGAAGTTTCTTGTGAAGCGAGCATAAGAAGATTGATAGTTGGCACAAATCTTTATTTTAATTATCTTGTAATGCATTTTGGTCAGTGGTCAAAATAGTGTCTTTCATAGTAGAATAATACTGTGAATTGGATGTGTTTAGGCAGTTTCTTCATTGATTTACTAAGAATGGACAGTCTTCCATTTTATAAAAGGCCTTCTTTGGGGAAATATTGAACTGAAACGATTGAGATGGAGCACTTTCCTGCATCTGCCTGACTTTTGCCTGACCTTGATATTTTAGATTGACTTTTACCATGTTTCTCTGTGATAATTTGATAAGAGGATTTCTTTGAAGAATAAAACCTTTCAAGGTCAAAAGCTTTGATATTAAAACCTTTATGCATTTAAAATATTCCATTATCTAACCTTTTCCCTTAAATGTGAGAGTTGAAAAATAGTTTTCTTTCTCATTCACTTTGTTAAACTTCTGAGGGTTAATTTTTTTTTTGTGCTGATGAAAAAGAAGATTTAATAGCACTGATCTGAGCCAGGCAGGGGATGGGCAGGTGCCTGCTAGTCTGCTTAGTGAATTTTGCCAATTTCACCTCAATTCTGATCACTGCTACTTTTGTCCTGGGTTTGTCTAGTACAGAGACTGGTCATCATGTCATGTTCTTGTGAAATGCATGAATAGGAACTAATTTTCACATTGTGGCTATATAATACTTTTTCTGTTATTATGTACAATACAAAAGTTCTATGCAGCTTAAAAAGTTGGGCTGACAACAAATGTTCTCCCTCTTCCCCCACCCACATGTGGAATAAAATTTTGTGTTCCCTGAGGCATGGCCAGGTGTACAGCACCAGTAGAAACACATGCTGCCAGCTGTGGGTAGCTTTTGGTGCTTTGCTAATCAGCTGGGTGATGCCTGAATCTATCCTGGGTGGCCACCCAAGCACACATCTTACAGAGAACATTGGTCAACTATGCGTAAGAATTAGAGATGTGAATGGTAAACCCATAAGCCTCAGCTTACTGGTTCCAGTTAATCAGTATGGGCTGAAGCAGCTGCCTGCCTGCCTCCATCCCTCTGGTCAGAGCAGTGCATGTCTGTAGTGGGCCTCCTTGGGCCACGCTGCTGCAGGCAGGGGCTGCTCTGGCTGGCCACAGCACCTGCCCCTGGTTAATTGGTTAAACGGTTAAACTTAATGTCTAATAGATTAACTAATGAAATGGGATTGTATATTCCTACTAAGAATATTCTAATGGTTTGAGATTTAGCTAACCCCCCCCCTTCCGCCCACAAAATGGAGAACGTCTGCCCTCATAGGAGTGGGGAACCTTTTTTGGGTTGCACACAAGTGAGATGCAAAAAACCCCCAACAAACCCTCATTGATGTGGCCCTCCTCGACTGAGAAGGAGAAAGACACTCTCCACATTCACCTCGCACACTAGAGCCTACGGGGGTTCAGCCTAGTAGATTTTGTGTGCTCCAGCTCCATGGTCGGACAGTAGGGAACTGGAGCACCAGCGTGAGCTCCCCAGTGCTGGGGGAGGGCTCTGAACCTCAGGGGCTGGATCCAAGCAAGCCAGGGGCCGCATCTGGCCCCGGACCTGAGGTTCCCCACCCCTGCCTTATATGTATGTGAATGACCCCATGCACTTGCCCAAAAGTAAAATCTGTGCATTTTACATCTAAGTGCTTAATTTTGGCCCTGTGCAGCTTTGAAATCCTTTATTAACACCAAGCTACCGTATTTTAGCTAATATAACCCACGGGTTATATTTGTTTTTACAAACCCTGCACACACACCCCCACCCTCCCGCGGGGTATACTCGGGTGCGGGGTATACAACATTTTTTTTACACACCAGCTCACCTCCCAGTTCCTCCACAGCCGTAGGGAGGGGCAGGAGGAGCACTCCCCTGCCCGGTTGCTGCGCAGCCTCCGGACGGTGAGCACTCCCCTGCCTGGTTCCTGCGCAGCCTCCAGGCGGGGGAGTGCTTACCGCCTGATTCCTCCGCAGCCGTGGGAAGGGGCGGGGAAGCGCTCATCCAGCTGCACAGGAACTGGACGGTGAGGGCTCCCCTGCCTGGAGGCTGGAACTGGGTGGTGAGTGGCTGGCTAATTTCCCTCTTCTCCTCTCCCCCCGCACCATAAATATACCCCGGCACAGCCTTGTATACCCTGTGAGTTATACTCGTGCGCGGGATATACAAGATTTTTTTTAACTCAAAAAGCAAAAACCGCAGGGTATATTTGCTAAAAGACAGTATGTCTGATCTAGTGAATGGATAAGATAATATCAGCAATACATTTCATCTGCTAAATGTGAAATAATTTACACAGCAGAGGGAAAAATTTAATTAGAACATTATAAGTTACATGAGAATTGACTCAGGAAATATATCTGGGCATCGTTGGAGGACATCTTAGTTAAGACCTTTGCTCAACACGTAGCTGTAATTTAAACAAGGAGAGATGTGGGGAGCATAAGAAACAAGGTGGAACATAAAACAAATGCAATAAAAATATATGGTTCACCTTTATATAGGATACTCAGTACTGAAAAGGAGATAGTAGATAGGGTTCTTTCTGTCCATTTAACACTTGAGGACCTAATCAGGGGCTTAATTTGTTTTGGAATAAAGCTCCATTCCCCTCCCCCAACTTTTCATAGGGCCTTCCACATCTTGCCCGCTCCCTACTGGACTTTGTAGGGTATAATACAGATTAAACCTCTCTAGTCTGGCACTCTCAGGACCTGACTGGTGCTGAACAAGAGAATTTGCTGAACCCTAGGAGGTCAGTATTGGCTATCAGCATTACTAACACTTCGAATGTCTACACTTGCACCCTATTTTGAAATAGGGATGCAAATGAAGACATTTGAAATTGCAAATGAAGCCGGGATTTAAATATCTCACGCTTCATTTGCATAATCGCGTTATGGCGCTATTTGGAAATAAAACATGCTGTGTAGACGCGTTATTTCAAGAGAAAACCCTTCTCTCGAAATAACCCTCATTCTTCATCAAATGAGGTTTAACAGTTATTTCGAGAGAAGGATTTTCTCTTGAAATAACGCGTCTACACAGCATGTTTTATTTCCAAATAGCGCCATAACGCGATTATGCAAATGAAGTATGGGATATTTAAATCTTGGCTTAATTTACAATTTCAAATGTCTTCATTTGCATCCCTATTTTGAAATAGGGTGCAAGTGTAGACATACCCCTACTGAGCTCTTAGAAGATATTCAAGGGTAAATTGGAGCTAAATAACAGCACAGAACTCTGAGAGCCAGGACTGGTGGCTGTAAACAAGCTTTATGAATCTGCAGGAAACTGCTAAGTGGACATTTGAGTAACTAAAATCATACTGGGCCAAGGATGTTGCCGTATTAGAGAGGTACAACCTGTATTAGAGAGGTATACATATAATGCTTTGTTTGATGACACATTTCCTCCTTCCCCTGGATATATTTTCTTCTGAAATAACACTCCTAAGCCTAATAAACATGTATAACTAACTGCAGACTCAGAATTTTTCCTGTCCTGGCTCTTTGAGGAACTCTATCATCTTCCTGTATAAAATCTCCACGGGTCATAAGAAGTGTCCAGTATTCTTTTATTCAACTTGCATTGCCATACCTCTAAGGCAGTGGTCTCCATCCTTTTTAAGCATGAGATCACTTTTTGAATGTAAGTGTAATCCAGGATCCACCTCAAATATAAATACCCTTGCCCCACCTCCTTCCTTCCCTTTTTCCTAGGCCGTGCCCCTGTTCACTCCATTCTCCCTCTCTTGCCCATTCTCTCTCTCACTCACTCTCATCAGGCTGGAACAGAGGGTTGAGGTGCAGACTCTGGTCTTGGATTAAGGCAGAGGTTCTCAAACTTTGTGACACCACAACCCCTTAAAATGCTAAATGAATTTGTGTGACCTCTTCCTCCCCCCTTCTCACCAGATTCTTTGCCCTCCTGGGGTTCCTTCAAGGCGTTTGCGGACCTCAACGCCCTTCCCCCTTGCAGGCTCC